AGATGGTCCTCTCATCTCCACCATAGCACATAAACACATTTGACATGATTTATTTCCCAGCCATGAAACTGTACCCACTGGTTGCTTGAACCAACTCAAAGCTAGCTTGAGCCTGCCTGGGGTGGGGCAGCCAGGAAGGCCAGGTGGGACAGATTGATTCTGAGGTTCCTGGGGTGTGGTAATAGCCATCTCCCTCTGTGTGGGTATCAGAGAGCAGAAAGGAAGGCTTAGTTGTCCGCTGGAAGACGTCATCCTAAGTCCTGATCAGATGGCCAAACAGGTTCCTAGGTATTTCCTGCTGGGGGGGGGGGGGGTCGAGGGCATGAACCTGCAACCACTGCAGTCAGAGCCCCCCTTCTCCAACTCATCTCTCTTTATCGTTTTCCTCTCCCTTCATGGAGCGCGTGTGTGAATACCTTTTCAGTGGACTTGGTATGTGTTAGACACAGCTCATATCATCTCCTTCAAGAACCTTTCCTGTAGATCTGCAGCCCGCCAGTGCTGCCCCACTCCCGCTTTCTCACTCTCTGCACACATGAACCCCTGATGGGAGGGAGAGGATCCATTCACTTTGCAGGTACAGCTGAGAGTCTCATTACTGACAGTGTGATGGGGGGGAGCAGGTGTGTGCTTCACTTCTCTGGCCATTTGGGGAGACGTTAAAAGCCCTGTGCACACTGGTTTCCCTTTAACAAGGGCTGCTGTGAGGGAAAGGAGACTAGCAGAGGTCAGCCAGCTGTGCTGGTGCTCGTGGGTGAAGCTGGGTCCTGTGACGTGCTCTTTAAAATGTTCGGTTTTAGAGTTTATACACACGTGGTTTCCAAGGCTGTCACTGAGAAGAGGATGTCCCTTCTGGATCAGGAATGGGTTTTAGAAAAACTGAAGCCGTCTCTAGACCTCTAGGAATGCCAGGTGGTAAAAATGCCACCCTAAGAGTCCAGGGTGAGCCTCCAGGAACACCAGAGGGGCAGCTGACAGGTGTAAGCTGATATCCAAATGATGACAAAAGCAGAACTCTGAACAACAGCATGAGTGTTCTTGAGGCTACTGAGCAAACACTTCATTTTTTAAGACTTCTTTTTCCTTTTCATTATATGTAGGGGTGTGAGTACAGTTACCCATGCAAGCCAAAAGAAGCTGCCAGGTCCCCTAAAGCTGGAGGTTTAGGTGTTCATGAATTGCCCGGATGGGTGCTGGGAACCGAACCAGGGTCCTCCACAAGAACAGCAAGAGCACTCTTAACCACCGAGCCATCTTTCTAGTCCTCTGAACTGAGACGTGGCTCAGTTGATAGAGTGCTTGCCTAGCATACATGAAGCCCTGAGTCCCTTCCCCAGCACCTCATAAACTCGAGTGTTAGCCCACACCTGTAACCCCCATCATGGGGGAGTAAAAGGAAGGTCAAAAGTTCAAGACTATCCTCAGCCAGTTCTAAGCTAACCTAGGATATATGCGATCCTGTCTCAAAACAAACAAAAACGACAAGATGAGAAATGTTATGTTGTGGTATGTGTATTTTCCCAGAATTAAAATTTTTAAGGCCAGGGATGGAGGATGGCTGTGGCGGAGCGTCTGCTTAATACACACTTGAAATTTTAAAACTGGTGCTGGTGTGTTGGCTCTGTGTGTAAGAGCTCCTGCTGTGCTTGCAGAGGACTTGGGTTCAGTTCCCAGCGCCCTCATCAGACAACTCACAACTTCCTATAACTCCACAAGATCCAGTGAGCCTTCTTCTGGCCTCCAGAGCCGCCTGTACTCTCATGTGCATACTCACATACAAAGCACATAAATAGAAATAAAGTATCTTTTAAGAGAAGATGTAGCAACACCGACAGTTAAGTGTTCTTGCAAGCTTTGTCTGCAGTTACCATTATTTAATCTCTTTGGGGGGACTTGGTTTTGTTTTTGAAACAGGGTTTTATGTATCTCAGGCTGGCCTGGAAATAGCAATACAGCCAAGGATGGCCTTTGTCTTAATTACTGGTTCATTGCTATGAGGAGACACCATGACCAAGACAACCTATTAAAGAAAGCATTTAATTGGGGGCCTGCTTGTAGTTTCAGAGGATGAGTCCATGATCAATGTAGTGGGGAGCACGGCGGCGGGCAGACATGGTGCTGGGAAAGTAGCTACCAGCTACATCTTGATCTGCAGGCAGAAGGCGGAGAAATAGAGGGAGCCGAGCCCACCCCAGTGACACTCCTCCTCCAGCACGGCCAAGCCTCCTAATCCTTCCTAAACAGTCCACCGGTTGGGACCCAAACATTCTAGTATATGGGTCTGTGAGGGCCATTCTCACCAAACCACAAAAACCTTGAACTTTTGATTCCTCTTGCCTCTACCTCTCAGATCCTGAGCTTACAGACAGCTGCTACCGTAGCCATCTAGAGTGTGGATGGAACCCAGGGCTTTGTGCAGGAGAGACAAGCACTCTACCAACCGGGCCTCATCCCAGCCTTGTCTTCCACTTCAAACGGATCACTCCTGGGCTAGAGAGTAACTGAATCACTAAATGCAAAGAGAACCGTGGAAGGAAGGGTGCCTGACCATGCATAGAGAGTCCCGACAGGGGAGGGTGAAGGCTTGACAAGCTTTCCTTTTCAACCAGAGCATGACGCCTCCTTAGTGCCAAAGTCATACCAGGATGGAGGACCGCCCACGCCCAAGGTAGAAGCAGAAGGTGAATAAAACCTAGGAGCTGCTTCAAAATAAGAAATACAAGTTCAAAAGCTGCCCGTGTCTGTGACTTTTGAACTTGAAGATAATCTCAACTCTCTTCCATAAGAATATGAATATTTATGAACCTGTGTGGGCGGGGGATGAAAGGCACAGGCCAGGCAAGTGCTCTACTATTGAGCTGCATTCTCAGCCCTGTGCTCTATCTCCAAGACCTCGAGCTTTTACCGGAGGGAAAGCCGGAACCAGGCAATGACCTTTGGCAGATACTGTCCCCACAGCAAAAGAACACCAGGGCCATTAAATGTCCGTCTCCCTGACATCTTTCTAATTTTACACTTATTTAGCGCATGCATGCATGTGTTTGTGTGTGTATGTGTGTGTGTGTGTGTTGTGTGTGTATATGTGTGTATGTATATGTGTGTGTGTATGCATTTACATGCTTCTGTGTGTGTATGTGTGTACATGCATGCCTCTGTTTCCATGTGGAGGTCAGAAGACAACTTGAGTTGGTCTGTCCTTCTGCCGTGTGGGCTTCTGGGATCAGCTCAGACACCTTTACCCACTGAGCTATGTCATCAGCCCTCTGGCATCTTTCATTGGTCTTGAACAGTGGGTGCATTCTATCCTGGCTCCACATCCTGGGGGCTGCTGGGCACTGTAGGCGCAACCTGTTAAGAATTTTTTCTTTCCAATATAGGCCTTGCACAAACTACTGAGAGCAAATCTTCTTCAAATCCCACGCATCGAGCAAATCCTTTGAACGAAGCTCGTCTGGTAGTGGAAAGAATGGGCCCAGTGAGGCAGCTGCTGGCCAGGCTTCAGCAGTGTGAAATGAGTGTCCAGCCCAGCCTGGTTTTCTCTCACTCTGGACTGTCACAGGAGGCTCAGTGGTTCTCAGTTCAGGGTCAAAGCACCTGCCTCTTTAGGCTTCTCTCCCTGACTCTCCCTGAGCTAAAAGTTTGCTCAGAGACCCTGAAGTTGTCCTCGCTGGCCACAGGAGGAAGGGTAAACAGAAGCACCTTAGTTAGAGGGGTCCAGAGAGGACACCACCTGCCCTGTGTCACTCAGCAAGAGGTTGGCAGAGCTAGGGGAAGCTGCCCTCCTAGCACGTTTTCCAGGACCGAGATGAATGCGCAGCTTCTGGAGCACACAGGAATGAGATTGCTGAGGCAGAGCCACGGGTGCAGCATGGGGACAAGTAGGCAATCAGGCCTTCGCACTGCGTGCTCACATAGAAGGCCTATTCCTGGGCCTTGATCTGATCCCCAGCCCAGCCTATCACCATCAATTTTCTCTTTTAGGCTCGGAGATGTTAAGCATCTTGATTTAAGTCACAGAGCCCGGAAGTGGCTATGTTGGGATTTGAACCTAGTGTCAAACCCCAAATGCTAGCTGTCCTATTCACTCATTCATTCATTCATCTTGAGTGTGTGCTGTAGTAGGCCCAACCACACAGCTGTGACAGGCTCATCAAACCCTGGTGTTAGAAGAGGAACAGAGTAGTGAGCTCTGTGTGACAAAAAGAAAACAGGAAGGGCCAGGCAGCAGCAGCAGCAGTTTACCAATGCTTTTAATACCAGCACTCAGGGAGGCAGAGGCAGGTGGATGTCTATGAGTTCGAGGCCAGGCCTAGTCTACAAAGTGAGTTCCAGGACAGCCAGTATAACACAGAGAAACCCTGTCTTGAAAAACAAAAAGGAAAAATAAATAAATAAAAAAGACAGACAACAGGAACAGACAGTACCAGAGTGAGGGGTATCTGCCTCCACTTGCCACAGTAGTTCTCAGAGTGACCTGTGTGTCCCTCTGCAGACTGCCAGTTTCCAGTGTGCGTGAGCTCCAAGCAAGGCCGCCTATAGGACACCCAAAACTTCTGGTAGACCAGGCCTAAAATATTCTTGAACCATTATGTCAGAGTGGCTGATAACTGTACTCCCCTACACTCCAGAAGCCATCACCCCATCTCTCCAGGCTGCTTAGCTGCCAGGAAGCTGCTCTTGGAAGGCTTCAGTGTCTCCCCTCCCGGTCTGCAATGGTGCAGGGCCCAGTGGTCTCTCTGAAGGGGGACAGGTCATCCGATGTGCTCAGTGGGTGTGAGATTCTGGGTGGTGGAAGGACGCCCTGTTTCCCACTGGGGCTGTGTCACTCGCCGTCTACGTGGCTGTGTGGCGTTTACCTTGACTGTGACAGTGACGCTCTGCAGGGATAGAGCAGGCAGGTGAGGGGTGGACTCAGGGCCTGGAACCGGGTAAGGATCAGTCCCCATCAAGACCCACTGCATCCCGGAACACTGAAAGACTCCCCTGTGATCTCTCACCAGATTGCCAAGGCATCATTGAGGATGTGGTCCTTCTGGGTGCACCGGTAGAAGGGGACCCCAAGTACTGGGAACCATTCCGGAAGGTGGTGTCTAGGAGAATTGTCAACGGCTACTGCAGGTCTGTCTCAACCTCATGCCACGGGGAGGGGGGGTTTCCTAGTGTGTCTTTTTTACTCCTTCTGGAGAAAAGATGTCTCTATGCTAGAAGGTGCCAGAAGCTGGTCACAGGCATGTCAGCAGTGTGGCCAGGGCCGGGAGCTCAGATCTGGGAGGCATCCTACCCTACAGGGTAGCTGTTGGCAGGGAGGCCCTTGCAGCACTCACCCTGTGTCAGGCCCAAGGTCACCTGCCGGGTGACTGCAGATTGGAGATGGAGGAAGAAGCATGGGAGTGGCACCTGAGACCCAGAAACAAAAAGGGTCCAAGTGGAAGCCCTCCAAGGCTAAGGCGTGCGCATGTGTGCCATTGGCAGTGGCGGTGTCTAGGCTCTTTTGTTTTTTGAACATGATTTCTGAGCAGGGGCGGGAGGATGGAAGAAGCTGGCAACGCAGAGAGCCAGCACCCTGGGCAACAGGCCTTCTGGCAAGTGGTGGAACCTGGGGGTGGGGGAGGAAGTGGGGGAGCAGCCATTTGGAGTCTGAGGAGAGGCCCTCTGAGGAGAGAGCTTCATTCTGAGTTGAAAACTCAAGCTCCAAAGGAGCAGGCCCCGCCCTAAGCTGTGCAAGTGTGTCCTGTGTTATATAGGCTACAGGCTGATTAGCTGTGAAAACCCCACACCTCATGAATTCTGAACACCACCAGTCCTTACGGTTTTGGATAAAGGACCTGCAGTAAAAACATAGGATGGTGACCTATGTAACCTGAAGAAGGTGACACTCAAAAAGCTCAAAATCAAATGAGGGAGGGGCTCTCATATAGCTCAGGCTGGCTTTGAACTCCCTGTAAAGACAATGATTCTCCTGCCTCCACCTCCCAAGTGTTATGATGCACAGACGTGCACCACCGATCCTAATTTATACAGCGCTAAGGACCAAAAGCAGTGTCTGTGCATGCAAGGCAAGCTCCCTGCAGGGTTCAGGGCTCAGGACCTGAGGGGCAAGTGACCCAGAAACTCCGGGTGCCAGCGGAAGACAGAGCAGCTAGCGGAAGAGGGCCTGTGATGGATGAGCCTACAGGAAAACATGAGATTCCCATTTCAAGGGGTTCATCTCAGGAGGGGAAGGCGGAGGTGCCAGCTGGAGGTCAGAGCCCCTCGGAGCATCCAGCAGACCACCCTGGTGCCCACATGCCCTCTCAGCACTTGGAGGCTGAAGTGGAAGGATTGTGGGTTTGAGGCCAACCCAGGCTGCGTAGTAACTGTGCCCAGGGGTCAGTTGCCCGGGGGTCAGAGGCCCAGCCTGCCCAGGCTCGCGCTGATGGCACCTGTCTCTGCCGGCAGGGGAGACTGGCTGCTGAGCTTTGTATACCGAACATCATCTGTGCAGCTCCGGGTCGCAGGCCTACAGCCTGTACTGCTGCAGGACCGGAGGATGGAGAATGTGGACCTGTCCTCCGTGGTGAGTACTAGCCTGGCCCTCCAACGGCTCCCCGTCGGCCTGTGTAGGCGGACACCGGGCCACTCCAGCACTTGGAGATTGTACCTGCCTCCTGCTGGCTCTGTCCCAGCCTTTCGACATCCTGTAATCCTCAAACTGCTGCCAGGCAGGAACTGTTGTGCCTCATTTACAGATGAGGGCGTCAAAGCTTAGAAAAATTCCTGTCTCCCCAACTAGCGATTCACAGGGCTGGATCCAAACCCCTAGAGTCCTCAAATTATCACCCCTAACCCCTACCCCAACACCTTCACTCCAGATGACCAGGCAGAGCTGTCCTCCCTCTAGAGATAACCAGAGCGAGCAGAGGACTCAGATTCAGGGCATGGGCTAGACTCAAAGCAGCAGACATTTGTGCCCAGCAAGCCAGAACATAAGCCAGGACTGAGCCTATCATGTGGGATGCAGGACCCAGGGCTCTGGGCTCATGAGTGCTCCCTAACACTCGCCCCCTCCTCTTCAGCCGCCCCACCACCCTCACTTCTCCACCTTGGAGACTAGTTGCTCCCCGACCACTCCCTCCTTAAACACCTTAGCTTTGGCTTGGCTTCCTGGCTTCTGCCTAATAATAGCTCTTTATCACATTAGGGGCCTCGGCAAAGCAAAGCGCTGCTTTCCTCCTCTGACTAATTAGAGGTAATTAGCATTGCCTTTGTGTCCCTGGCTTTCCTTGGCAGCTCACTGGAGGAGGGGTTGGCAGGGCTCCCTCTTTTGGACCTGCCAGGCAGCTCCCCTTGCATCAGCAACTACAGACTTGTCCATTCGTCCTCCCTGTGGCTGGCAGGGATGGATAAAGGGACCCTGGCTGGGACACCTCTCTTTGCCCTTCAGGCTCTCCCACTCTAGGACTTTACCACCCTAGAGCTCACCATGTGAAGCTGTCTGGAACAAACCTCTCCGTGTTCCAGAGGGTGTCCCCGGTTTCTAGGACTTAACAAAGGGTCTGCCACAGAATACGCAGTCAGTAACAGCACCAGTAGTGACAAGTGCCACCATGTGTCAGGTGACCTACAAAAGGTCCCAGGAGGGACTTATTTGTGCTCACGGTTTCAGTCCCCTAGGGCCGGGAAGGCCCAGTGGGAAGCTGTTCACAGAGGGGTGGATTGGAAGCAAAGGGTAGGGAGGAGCCAGGAGCTGGGTGTCACATTCAAAGCCCTCTTCCAATGACCACTTCCACCAACTGGACAGTCCCTCCTAAAGCTTCCACAACCTCCCAGCACCCCCAGATGGGGAATGAATGGTCAAGAACCTGAGCCCGAGATTGCAGATTCAAGCCAGAAGCCCAGGGAAGCTGCCTCAGAGCCTAGGCCCTCAGCCACGCATCTGCGCCACTTGCGTTCCTAAACCCCCAGAGCCTAGGCGGCAATTTCCAGCCTGCCAGCACGCTGTACCCACACGGTCTCCTGCTCATGCCAGCCACACGGTACTGGGGTTATTGTCAGTTTCATTTTACAGAAATGTGACACCAGGAAACTCTAATGGGTTTGTCCTAATGGGCACAGAAGGGGTCCTCAGGACAGACAGGTGGGGCAGTGGCAGCCAGGCCAGGTCTCTTGCAAGGCAGCAAAGGGGAAATGCTAGGGCCCATTCCTACCCACATGGACCTGGTGACTGGAGTGCATACTTTCAGCCAGTAGACTTTGATGATTGACAGTATGTGCTGGGAGCCACACGGCGTGTTCTAAGGCCGCAACTTCCACCCGGCATCACTCAGGGAAGATGGCTGCTTTGTGTTAGTGATGCCTGACTCTACAGGGCAAGGCTCGGAGAGACAGCTGGGGAGATGGTGAGCTGAAAACCTCAGTCAGCACTAACTGTATCGCATTCACTCCTGACCCACCTTGCCCCTGTGAGGCCTCCCCTCTGCTGACGGTAGACATGGAGTGCCAGCAACAAGGACCCTATCTTGGGTCTCTATAGATTTAGCAGCTGAGGGACTGTGCTTGAGAGACCTGGACCAGCCTGTGGCAGAGGAGGCTAGAGCTGTGGGTTGTAGGTACGGTGGCCCAGTGGAGTCAGGACTGCCCTTCCTATCTGCCTGTTCCCATGCAGCCCAGGCACCAGTCCCACCCCAAAGGGCTGGGAAGCAGCCCTTTTTGTCCATAGAAAAATGGTTAGTGCTTGCCCCTTCGGGTCTGAAGGTCCTGTTAGCTGGAATTCAGCTGTGATAGCTAGAGCTGAAGCAGCCTTCTTGGGCTCCCAAATGGATCAGGCCAGCTAGCTCCCATTTTCATCTCCCCTTTGAGAAAATCTAACGTAAGAGAACACATGTTTATGCAGCACGCACTATTTGCGATTTCCGGTACTCTCCGGCCCTGTTGAGAGGCGATGCCTTGGCTCAGTCAACCAAGCATTTCCACAAAAGCATGAGGGTCTGAAGCATGAGTTCAGAACCCAGGTGAAAATCAGTCAGATAAGGCAGTATTTTAGATGGAGGGCAGAGACAGGAGGATCCCTGGTGCTTGCTGGCCAGCCAGTCTAGCCAAATAGAGATGCTCCAGGCTTCGTGAGAGACCCTATAATCAAAAAAATAAGGTGGAGAGTAATTGAGGAAGACACCTGACCTTTCACACACACACACACACACACACACACACACACACACACACGGGGAGTGGGGATTAGGAAAAGACACTCATACTCTTACAAAGAACCTCCCTGCCTTGGCCCATCTGGACTGCTATACTCCAGTGCCTGGGCCTAGATTATGTGCCATGAACAGACAGTTATTTTGCTTATAGCAGTGGCGTCTGAGATCCAAGGCCGTGGCACTGGCGTCTGATGGCAGCTTCTGGCTGCATTGTCTCATAGTGGAATGTCAAGCCAGCCTTGTAACAAATCTGCCCTCAGGGAGACACCACTGTCCAAGCTTGAAGCAGAGCCCTGGGCTCCGACCATCTGCCCAAAGCTCTTCTTCTCAACACCATTGTTTTGGGAGTTAAGTTCTCAGCACAGATGGGCAAGGAGGGGGCGAAAGGGGGTAGAGAGGTGGTGGAGGTCAGTGAGCTGTGAAGAAACAGAACTTTATGGGCTGTGACAAAGCTTTATTTCCAACTTGGGATGTTTCCTGGGGAGTTACTCCCAATGTTGGAGACAGAGGGCCACCCTAGGTCTCATGGCTACTGAAGAGCAAACACTGAACCCCTCCCCTGCCTGCTAACCAGCAGGATGGGCCTTCATGCCCCAGAGTACCCACATACTTGGAAAAGCTTTCTTCCACTCTCTCTGGCTCAGATCCTACAGCCCCTGAACCCCTACTCCAGTGTGCTCTGGATTTGAGAACCATTGCTAATTGGGGTCCTGGGGCGCTGAGGGTGGAGCTTAGCCTGGATCCCAGGGAAAGGGTGGGCCCTGCACACCATGGTCCTCATTCATGGTCTCCCTGCAGGTCAATGGCCACTTGGACTATGCCAAGCAAATGGATGTCATCCTGAAGGCTGTGGGCATCCGCACCAAGCCAGGATGGGGTGAGAAGGGCCTCCCGCTGGCCCCTGGCAGCCTGCCCCAAGAAGAACCTCTCCCGATAGCCACAGTCTCCACAGATGAGACCATCCACCAGGACGAGAAAACTCAGGAACCTGTCCCAGGAGAAGACAGTCTCAAAACCACCATACCTTCCAGTGCCAGCCAAGCCCAGGTGCCAACAAGGCTGGACCAATCCACAGAGGCCTTGCTCCCTACTCCTGCCACCCCTGCAGAGGGACCCCGGATCTGCAGCCACGGTGTGGGTCCCAATCCACTGGGATGCCCTGACTGTTCCCATGGGACCCAGGAATCCTGTGCAGAGCTGGACTGACCCCAGCAGGAGCCTGAACTACCCCTCCAGACTTCTTCTGTATGCAACGTCCTCTAAGCTTTCAGGCTCCCAGAGAGTTCTGGATGTGGGGAATTTCCACAAGTGCCTTTCTTAAACTGGAAGGGGCTAGAATGGAGGGTCTAGGGAGAAAACACTGGCTCCCTGAGCAAACACTGGCAATAGAACCTGCCAAGTCAACCCAGCTCTAGATCAGTGTAAGCTCCTGCCCTCCAGGTCCCACCCAGAGGCCCAGAAGTCACTGTGGGACTGGAGATCCCCATGCTCCCTTTTCTCCAGTCTCAGTGGAACCAAAGTTCTGCTTGCTTCTACTCCCCAGGGCTGCCCACCAGCCCCAGACTCCACCAGTGGGTCATGTTTGGGTGCCAATGAGATAGTTTCTTCTCTCAGCCCAGCTTTGTCCAGGACAGATGTGCAGGCTATGCATAACTGTGGAAGTAAGTGAGACATAGATGTGACATGTGGTGCCCCATCCTGAACTTGATAAACACGGTGACCCTGGACAGAACCATATCAAGAGGAATAAAGGCAGAATTTGCAGTCAGCACAGTGAGAATGGAGCCTGGTGGTTGGTGAGGATTACACAGGGAGGGAACAATAAACACTGAGTATTTATCACACCTAAGGGTTTTTCTCTTGACCTTCATGAAAACCCTTAATTTCATGCTGGGGAAAATGAGCCTTTGTGTAATTAGGAAACCTGTTGAAGGCCACATCAGTGAGGGAGTCACCGTCAAGTCTATCCAGGGAGACTGCTGACCTAGCTCCAAGGCCCTGCCATCTACATCCTTGAGGACCCCCCTCTGTGTTGCTCCCACCTCCTCTGGGTGGCAGGGACAGAGGTGAGCTGCCCCCATCGAGCATGTGGAGAAATAAGAGCCGTGTAAGGCTGTGGGTGTCACGGTTCAGAAACTGGGTGCTCCTTACTCACTTTGTATAAACACCTACCCAAATGCATGCTGCCTTCAGTACAAACTGCCATGCCCACTTGGAAAAGTGACAGTGATTTGTTGGGGGCCACAGGGCATGCTAGGCACAGAGTCAGATCAGAGTCCAGGACACTTGGGCGGAGACCCTTACACAGCTGTCAGCCCAGCACCCAGGGCTTACAGGACACAGTCCACACACAGCCACTTCCTTCAGCTGGTTTTTATTGAGTCCCTCCGGCAGGCCTAGAGGCGAAGGAGAAAGCCTTGGAAGCACCAAAGCCCTGCTGCCAGGGCCCAGTTGAATATGATCAGCACCAAGGAGAGCTCCTGGTCACACTGGGAGAGCCTGGGAGCCTGGGTTGATGAACACTGGGGCCTACCTCTGCTGAAGAGGAAGGTGCAGAGAAGCATGGAGAGTCCCCTGCTCTTACCCATGAATGCAAGCCCTGTGCCAGAGCCCACGTGCGTGCCTGTGGCTTCACCCCCAAGCCAGGGACATTCCACTTCAGCTGTGTCTGCCCCTCCCCCCCAAGCAGCTGTCCTTTCTTTCAATGACCCTAAGGAGGACCAAAGGAGGCAGGATGAAGGGCTATTCTGCCTCCATCAGCTGCTTCCTCTCAGGGAAGCCCGAGTGGACGAAGCCCACCCTTGAGGTTGCACAAGATCAGTCACCAGCTCCTGGGCCTCTAGAGGCAAAACAGCAGGATGGGACTGGAATGAGTCCCTGAGTGGTAGGGTCCCCACCCAGCAAAACAAGGATGCTGGGAGACGGAATTAGGGTGTGGGAGTCTAGGCTGGAAAAGGACAGTGGGGCTGAGGTGTGACTCAGTGAAGAGCACTTGCCTAGCACAAGGCTGCCCTAACAGAAAACAAGGAGCCCTGGGGACACGGTTGATAGAGTGGTTTCCTAGATTGCAGGAAGCCCTGAGTTCCACCCCTGGCACCACATAAACCTGCTGTGTGGTGCATGGTGCATGCCTGTGATCCCAGTACTTGGGAGGTAGAGGCAAGAGGATTAGAAGTTCAGGGTCATCCTTGGTCACATAGGAAGCTTGAGGGAACATGAGTTACACGAGACCCTAGAACAAGTGAGAAATAAAAGCAAGAAAGGAGTGATAAGAAAAAAGAGGGAGAGAGGAAGAGAGGGAAGAATAGAGGCCAGGAGTGAAGAACACTTGGCCTTCTACCAGAGCCAGGACCTGGCTGACTAGGAATTGAAGCAACCGAATTTGCCACCTGCTGACCATTCACATTGTCTTACAAGTTGGCGTCATTGCCCTCCCTTGAGACCTGTGCCACGCCCCAGAACTGCAGCATACAGAGGAAAGGGTCCTGTTTCTGGCTGCCCAGCTGCCAGCCTAAGGCGCTCATTAGTGTTGCCCTGGGGGGACTGAAGGTCCGGCAAATGCAGATGTGAGGAAGCTCATGAACAGTTTTGATTGAGCACATCTGCAGAGGGGTGGGTACTTTGAACAAACTCCCCAGGGCCTACGAGAACCCCAATAGCCCATAGGTGGCACTTCGGATAGCAGGGGATTGGGCCCAGACAGGAACTGGGTGTCTAGGTGGACACATTCTTCCCACACACCATGAGAGAAAGGGCTGAGGATAGATTGCTTTCCTACTGACCTGAACCAAGCGGCCCTTCTCCGAGTCCCCAGCCACATTACACAAACCACAAACGACACTGCACTGGAGCACCCTACAGAGATGTTTCTGATCACCCCTCATGTCAAGGGGCCTGCAGCAAGAGATGGGGGCTAGCTGAGGATACCTCATGGAGCTCAGCAGACTCCCGGAAGACCTACCATATCCCAGTGTTAGGGAGAGTGGGCTGAGGCCCCCTGGATGCCGCTCTCCTCCGGCCAGCTCTTGATTGGTCAGTTCCTGGGGGGACTGAGCGGGAGCTGCTTTATCTCAGGCTCCACAGAGTCCTTGACAAAGAAGTTGACCACAGTCGTGGCCCTGGTGGGTGGCGGAGGGTCCCGGGTTGCCTCTCCAGGCAGCAGAAGCTGGGCTGTGAGCTGCAGGCCCGAGGTGACCCCTGAAGCTGAGTCTGAATCGGAGTTCGGTGGCAGAGGCAGAGGCAGCACCTGCTGCAGGCTAAGGCCTGGTCTCGCACCACTGTGAGAGGTCCACATGGAGGGGGAGGCAGGGCTGGCCCGGTGCTCCGGGGGACAGTGGATGCAGGGCAGGAGCCTGCCCAGGGCCCTCTTGAAGTCCCGCATGAAGAGAGGGTAGATGATAGGGTTCATGGTGCTGTTACAGTACCCCAGCCACGTGAGGACATCGAAGAGACCTGGGGAGATGCAGTCACACACGGCCTGTGGGGGAGAGGACTCATCACACCGTGTCCAGGGCTGGGGCCCAGGCTACCCCACCCAGCAGGCATGGGACAGACACACAGACACAGGCACCACACATGAGCCATCCTTCTCTCTCCCACCTTTGCACAGTGAGGCGTGGTGTCTTCTCCAGCCAGGCCTAGACTCACTCCACCCTCACTGTCATTTTTTTACCTGAGCTATGTTGGCCACAAAGAAGGGCAGCCAGGTGACAAAGAACATGCCCAGCAGGATACCCAGGGTCAGGCTGGCCTTCAAGGCCTTCCTGCTATGCTTGGTGGCCAGACGCCTACTGTCAGCGGACTCCATCCCTGGGCGTGGGGTCCTGGGCACCTGTGGAAAGGAAGGTCGCATATGTTGGCTGACCTTAGTCACAGACTGGACCTCAACCCTAATACTAGACTGAGGCCTAGTATGCCAGCAGTTAAATGAGCCCTGATCCTTAATTGATCCCCAACTGAAACACTAAGCCTAACTCCAGTTCCTTACTGAACTGGCTGCAGACTGAGTCTGACATGAATGCTAAGAATAGCACAGCCCCAGACTGAACACTAGCACTGCCCACAGATCCTTGTGTCACCACGGTCCCAGGCTGAGCCTCCAGTGTGGACCTCTACAGAGCCCTGATCCTGGTCCCACACTGCACCTTGTCCATGCAGCATTTTTCAAGTTTGAGGCAGTTCAGATGCAGGGGTTGAGAGCTCTGAGTGAGCCTCCTGCAAGGCAGACGTGTGTCACAATGTCGCTCAGTTGGTAGAAAGCTTGCCTAGATGCAGGAAGCAAGCCGCGGGCTCCATTTCTGCTACCTCACAAACTAGGTGTACAGGCATGTGCCTGGAATCCAAGCAAGCTCAGAAGTTCAAGGCTACCCTCAGCTTCAAAATGGCATGAGACCAGCCTGGGCTAGAGGAGACTCAGTCTCAAAAAATTGATAGATGGAAGCCGAGCAGTGGAGGAGACAGGAGGGCAGTGCATGCCTTTAATTCCAGTACTTGGGAGGCAGAGGCAGGTGGATCTCTGCCAGTTTTTACGGCTAGTGGGGTCTACAGAAGGCATTTCAGGACAGCCAAAGACAGAGAAACCCTGTCTCAAAAAAAAAAAAAAAAAAAAGCAGACAAACAAAAACAATTAAAAGAAAAGAAGATAGATAGATAGATAGATAGATAGATAGATAGATAGATAGATAGATAGATAGATAGATAGATGATAGACAGACAGGTGACAGGTAGATGACATTCAACACAGACAGGCACCAGCACAGTAAACCCCATCACCTCAACACTTCAAGACCCGGTCGCACTTGAGAAGAACACCCACGGCCGAAAGGCAGCTGTTTTGTACAGCCTACAGATTCTCTGTACATTTTGAAATTAAGTTTTTACCATCGTGCTCCACAAAACAGAAGTGTTTCTTGTCACTATGTGCCCGAAGCAAATGGTCGTGATGAAACCTCGTGTAGAGGGGTAGAAATGCCGGCTGCTGACCTTGGCACTCCACACCGCCTTTCCATCCTCTTCATGGATGCCGGTGGGAACCAGGGGAGGAGGAAGGTGCCACTCACCCAGAAACCACAAGCACATGGAGAGGTCTAAGCTCGACGCTGCCACCTGCAACCAACTGTGCCAGATTGTTATGAGGCATGGAGTGAGCCTGTAGCGCCTTGAACTTGTGACCCCTTTGAAAATAGAAGAAACCTCCCCAGAATTTGACCTCCCAGTTTTCCAAGCTCTACCTCCTAAATGTTGGGGTTACAGTGTCCCGCCACAGGTGGTTTATGTGGTGCTGGGGACTGAACCCAGGCCTCCACACGCAGGAGGGAAGCTCTTGCCTACCTAACCCACGTCTCCAGCCATCTTCTTGCCTTACTCACATACTCAGGTTTTGGATCCAAGGATTTGTCCCAGCTTCATTCTTTTAATTTTTAATTAATTATTTTTATTTTTATCAATTACAGTTTATTCACTTTGTATCCCCCCTTTACCTCCCTCTGTCTTCCCCTCCCAATCCCACCCTCCCTCTTCCCCACCCATGTCCCTCTCCCAGTCCACTGAAAAGGGAGGTCCTCCTCCCCTTTCCTCTGAGCCTAGTCTATCAGGTCTCATCAGGAGTGGCTGCACTGTCTTCTTCCATGGCCTGGTAAGGCTGCTCCCCGCTCAGGGGGAGGTGATTAAAGAGCAGGCCAATCAGTTCATGTCAGAGACAGTCCCTGTCCCCATTGCTATGGAGTCCACTTGGACGCTGAGCTGCCATGGGCTACCTCTGTGCAGGGGTTTCAGGCCATCACCATGAGTGGTCCTTGGCTGGAGGATCAGTCTCAGAAAAGACCCCTGTGCCCAGACTTTTTGA